ACACAAGAGTGCTCATTTCTGAGCAATTTGCATCTTTCAGTGTGAGCTAGATACTCTCATGTCAAACCACACGCCCCTTCTAAATCAGAAGAGAGCACCATCCACTTGTAAACAGTCTTTCTCTTGGTAAGTTCTCAGCAAAAATGACAAGTTTGAATTCTATAATTATGCCCATGTCAATAAACGAAGCATTGAGTTAGTTTCTCCTCACTTTGCTCTAGAAAGTAGTCATTTTACTAATTTCTAATTTTATATAAAAAAAGTACATACAAACAAAAGAACAAAAATGCCCACCATAACCCACTACCCTGAGAAAATAATCACATTGACATTTACATTCATACATTTCAGACCATTTTTGGAGCAATCTCGATTTTTAAACAAAAAGGAATCTTACAATGAATACAGCCTTGTAAACTGCCTTTATCACTTAGCAGACATAACCAAACTCTGAGAAAGGTAAACACCATTCCAACCAGAACGTGAGGGGCTGTGAGGGCTCTGCCTTTGGGGAAAGACGAGAAGGGGCAGGGAGTGCCATGCCTTGGTGGCTCAGGCCAGGACCATGTGGTAGGCCCCTTCCCTTCCAGATGGCAACACAAATGGAAACAGGTGAGAGGAAGGAGGGAAGGGGCTTCGGGGCTGGACATCAGGTAGGGATCCAGGATGGGCTGTGGGTGGAGGTTCAGCACAGCCTCAATCAGTGCTGCCACTGGGGAGGGGGAGGGTCCGATCGGGAACCTTGGGACAAGCACCTCACTGAGCCAGGAGCTGAGCTTTTAAAAAATATATACTTTGTGTTGATTTTCTGGGGAAAGGTAGGCAATATTATCCTCGCAAGAATCACTTACATGGATAAAAGGAAATGAAAACACTGATATTTTATGGAATATTCTTGCAAATAATTGGCCTAACACAGCATTTAAGAGCTCTTATTTTTAACTCTTCATATAACATCAAAATGCCTTTTTTACTAGATAAAACAGTGATATCTCCCATGATGTAACTTCCCCCTCCCCTGTTTTAGAAGCAGAAGGCGGCCCCTTCCAGGGGAGTCCTCGGATGCTCTAACAGATGCACTGTGCAGTTCGGGGAGGGCAGCTGCATGTCAGGCCCATTCCTACCAACCCAATTACATAGAGCCTTTTAGTTTAAACAAATATTTAGTAAACAAATAATGAGTTGCCTTTTAAATGATTAAAAAATGGCTCACTGTCAACATCAGGAAGATATTTCTCCTAGTAGGACAGAAACTTTGCCCCAAATCACTTTCCCAGAGAAGGGACAAAGCCAGGGAGAAAGGGCGCGTTCTCCCAAATGTGTCGCAGCCAATGAGTTCTTTCAAATCGGCAACAGGTGCTCTCTCTCAATCTCCACTCTCCCACGTCAAAAATAAAGAGGAAGGAAAGGAAGGAAGGAATGAGGGCACTTTTGCTAAGATATCCACTTGGTAATTGGTAGTGATGCTGTAGACCAGTTAGTTACTGCTGAGGGACACAGATAGCATGGGCGGAGCCTGGTGTGATTCCAGGAGCAAACTTCTGCTGGGGAAAAGACAAAAAGAAACGTGTGTTTTCCTTCTTCTCACACATTCCGTCTGCACTTAATGCTGAGTCAGAAGACAGACGATACTGAGCAGCAGCTGAGCTCGAGGTCGACCCTTTCCCCCAGAGGCTGTTGGAGGGCTCCTGCTAAAGCACTGCATCCCTCACTTGGACAGAGTGCAAGGCCCTGCCGGCTCTGACGAGCATCCTGCCAGGAAGCTAAGCCCTTAGGCTCTTCTGAGTTCAGAAATCAGATGTAGGGTTTTTGTTTTCTACAGTGGCTTTGCCAAACAAATGATCAAATCTCAAAGGTGATGCTGAGCCTGAAGGAGGCCTGCTGGGGAGCTGCAAGGAGAGGGAGCAGCTACTTTCTTGGAGGCAAAAACTAAACTGTGGGGTGTGGTGGGCTGACAACTTACTGCACTGGTGGCCTGGTCCAGACAGCATCGCCCAACCTTGTCTCTCAGGTCTGTCCATTTCATTCCACTCTTGCAGCAGCCGCCATCTGGTCTGCCTCTTGACTCTGCCCCTCTAATCAAGGCCACTCAAGAATGTAAGTGAATCTTACTGCAATTGTCACATATGGCCTCTCCACCATCTCTCCCTTCACCTTTGGAATTCCCATGAGACATGTTTAAACATCATTCTATCTCTATGTCTCCTCTAAACCACTCTTAAACTTTCCATTTCTTTGTGTCTCTGGGGTATAATTCAAATTTACCTTCTAGTTTACCAATTTTCCTTTCAGTTATGTCTAATCAGCTATTGAATTCATCCACTGAGTTTTTCATTGAGATTCTTATGTTCTTCATTTCTGGAAATTCTATTTTGTTCTTTTACAGATTGGCTCTGTCATTCTTTATTGTTTCTTTTCCTGCTCATGTTTTTAATTTTGTCTATTACTTTAAATTCATTAAACTTTGTTAGTTGACATTCTGCAAACTCTGTAGGTCTGATTCTACTGTCTGTTGTTTCTCTTGACAAATGAACACAATTTTTTATTTCCTTATGTTCTTTGTGTATTTTCTCCTCTGAGCTCATGTTTCTTGGAACTTTATATAGGAGAATTCGTTGGGATCTGGATTGAAAAAGATGACTGGATTTGCTTTTAACTGGCATATCACTGCCTCAATAGATATTACAAACTACTGATCCAGGACTAAGTTAATGTATATACATGGGATTGAGATTTTTCTACCACACATGTGGTATAGATTCAAGCTGCAAACTCATAAGAGAAACAGTTTTTGGTTTCAAATGTTCAGCAACAAATGGCACCAGCAATTTTCCTTGCTAACTTCTTTTATAAAGAAGGTTCATTTATCTTCTCCCTTACACTATAGAGTTGAGCTTTGGGGCTACTATGTTGCAAAGCCCATCAGTGGAATAAGGTTTTTGCCTCAATACTAAATGGCCACATACACTCATATTTTTTAAACCATGGAATTATTTTGTGTGGGTTTGTCTCTTTCTTTGCTGTCAGTTTTAAATTTCTGTGAAAGCACCCCTCTCCCTATCTGGCATATTAAATAAGGCACTCAATAAATATTCATTAAGCTAGTGAATAAATTAATAAACAAAAAATAACTAAGTATATTGAAACTATCTGTAAGCAAAGTGTGAATGGCCTGGGGTTAGAAGCTCTGATAAGTTGGTAGTATCACCTTAGTGCCTTCGCTAGAGTTAACTGGCTTCTTATGGTAGCGTTTTCGGGGCTACCACCTGATTCTGGCTGTATCACAGCTGATTTCCCAGAAAGGACAGTATTACTGATTCATTTTTTTAATTTAGCTCTCATCCTCCATTTCCTGCTCCGTAAAAACATTTTCTGCTGCCACCAAAACCAGAAACCATGATTTCTATTTCTAAATTTGTCTGAAATATTTTGAAGACAATGGTCCCCATTCCTCAACCTTGCCTAAAAGAGAGATTCCCAAATCTATTCCCTTCCCAGAGACCCCATTCAGCAGGTCTGGGGAAAACCAAGCTTTACAGAGACTGAGAGACTGACAATAATCCTCCAAGTTTATGAACCATGGGCCTCTAACATCAACTAAACACAGAAAGGATTTTTCTTACATTAGGCGAACAGAAATAACCCTTGAAGGTTACAGTAACCTCATCATCTCCAGTGCCATCTTATCATCAACCCAAAGCCACACTTGACCCCTGACAAATTCCTCAGACTTTTCTTTTTTTTTTCTTCAGGAAAGTATTTCAGAGAATCTGGAGTATGCATTAAAATAACACAACTGTAATAGCTTAGTCTCAGGAGGAGCCTTGCCAGTGTTGGTGGCAATGGTGCAGATGGAGAATGAAATGTGTCTCCACGTTTCAGGGGCAGGAGATCCTTAGCAGTTTTCTAAAAATTAAATTCACTAAGTCATTGGAATGCTTTGTTTGTTCCCACTTAGAAGTAGCAACATGCAAGGATATAATTCATCTGCTAAAAATGTTCTCAAATTCAAAATAGCTGTTTGGACAGACCCACACAAACCATAATTCTAAACCCGAAGGTGGAGTCGCTGGCTGCACAGGGATTCTTCACCCCATCAACCACTTCATATAAACAGCATGCACAGGCCCCACTCTGGCTTTGGTGTGCTTCCCCCAGACTGCAAACCATTCACACACACTCACACACACACACTCCACGATTTGCTAAGGCGTATGTAACAAGATGTTCTGCTGCCTCACTGTTAGCATTTCTGGTTTCTCTTCCCATCCCCTATAGGCCATCATTTCCTGTCCCCAGGGGTGTGGAAGTTGTTAGATATGCAAATCATGACCCCACCCCAGACATCCTGGGGCAGACATCTGTTTTTAATAAGCCCTCCAAGTGATTTTTAGGCAAGTTAACATTGAGAAGCACTAATGTTTTTATTATACAGCAAACATCTCGGCCTTAAGATCTGTTAGAATCTGCTCTTTCTTACCTGACCCATCTTCCTCACCTGGCCCCTGTCTTCCTCAAATTCTATCAACAAATGTTTCCTAGGTCTCCTACCTCAGTGAATAGTTACTTCCATGGCTATCTTGGGCATGCCTCTCTAGATAAATTTAAAGGAAGGTGGTAAAAAAAAAAAAAAAGCTTTCCAAATATTTACCCACTCAAATCTTTGATTTGTACTCTTCCGTTGCAGTATACACTTTCCAGTTCATCTCTAATAAGAATTGTCTCGGAGGCAAATAAACAGTTACATATGTGTGATGTGTTCCTTTATGCTGGCCAGTCCTGGCCATCACGAGATCATGAGCATCTGGGGAATATCAATTCACCACTGAGGATGGAAGCTCAGGCTATAACTGCCCTGTAAGCCAGAGCCCATGTGAACATTTCCTAATCCTCACTTAAACGAAACAACACAGAAGATGGCAAGATGCCATATGTGTTCAGGATATTTTTCACACAGAATAAAATTTGTAAGTATCAAATAAAGCAAGAGCAGACATTACCAGAGTGATTTCTCCACGATTTTGGTCCTGAAAACCTCCTCTTGGTCCAGGTTCACGGTGCAATAGCAATCTCGCATCTTGTTTGGCCCCGGGTAAGTGGGAAGATTTTTGGCTTCACCTAAAAAGCAAGTGTAAATACGTCATCAACATAGCATAGAATTATTTGGTCCCCTCGCTAATCACAGATACGTTTCCAGATAATGGATTTATTTCAGATCAAGGCACCTGCTTTTACTTTTACATTCGGTAGGTCTTTATAAGGTCTTGGTTTTCTTGCTACCGCTAGTCAAAATATTGACTAAAATACCATTTGCACTGTTAAAAATGCAAGGTACCCTACACATTAACCTCTAAAACAAATTGATAAAAGTAGGAATCCATCAGCCTAGGAATTAAAGATTCTTTGTTTTGTTTTACTCACATTAGTCCTTTTAGTTTTTTTAATATTTAAATTACAGTAAGATATATATAAGTTAAAATTAATCATCTTTAAGTGTACAGTTCAGTAGTGTTAGGTATATCCCCACTGTTGTGCAACCAATCTCTAGAACTTTTTCATCTTGCAAAACAAAACTCTGTACCCACTAAACAACAATTCCCCATTTCCTCCTTCCCCCTCCTCCAGGCAACCACCCTTCTACTTTTTGTTTCTCTGAATCTGGCCACTCTAGAAACTTCATAGAAGTAGAATCACATAGTATCTGTCCTTCTGTCTCTGACTTATTTGACTAAGATTAATGTCCTCAAGGTTCATCCATGCTATGGCGTGTGTCAGAATCTCGTTCCTTTTCAAGGCTAAATCATATTCCATTGTATGTATAGGCCACATTTTGCTTAACCATTCGACCCCCAGGTCCCTTTTTATTTTGAATTTAATTTGATAAAATCAGATCAAAGTCGGGGCAATAATTAAGGAGAAGGACTCTTTTATTGATGAGAATAAACTATTAACTACAGCTGTTTAAAATGCAGAGTGATTAACCAGTTAGGAAAAAGTCAAGAAAGAGAGAGCTGCTCTAGGTTGATGTCTCCCTCCCACAAGCCCCTTCCTCACATGGAAGCCCTATAGCATCGAAGCGCATTTGAAGGAAAGGAAGAAAGCCAGCTTGCCCGGCCACAAAAATGTCCAACGATGTCACAACTGCCTGTTTGACCCTGGGTCTGACTAGAAATCATTATCAAAACCACAATCGCTAGCAACCTCTGCTAGAAGCTCAGAGCAAGCATGAAGGGCTTGTCCAAACAGGCCTGTTTACTGGTGAACAGGAATAAAAGAGAGGTGGCTTTCAACCTGGACGGCGGATGCCCAGGTGAAGTCCCCTACATGGAAGAAATGCCTCAAACAAGCTGTCGCCTCCCAGAGTCTTCTTTGTCACCAAGTCATTTCAGTTCTAAAAATGCCAGGCCGTGCCCAGCTGGGAGTGGCTCAGTGGTTGAGCATCGACCTAGGATACAGGTGATCAGGGTTCGATCCCCGGTCAGGGCACATGCCCGGGTTGTGGGCTGCAGCCGATCAATGACTCTCTCATCATTGATGTTTCTATCTCTCTTTCTCCCTCTCCCTTCCTCTCTCTGAAATCAATAAAGTTTTGTTTTTTTTTTAAATAAAAATGCCTGGCCGTGGGCATTCATGGGCACCAGACCCAGCACTAGATAGAGAAGTTAAGTCTGAGCTCCCAGCACCATGTCAACAACAGCTCAGGCATATGTTGATAACACCTGTTAATACCACTGAGGGCCAACCTACCTCACTCTTGTTAAAGCTGAAAACAACAACAACAAAAAGCAACAACAGAAACCAAACCAAAACTAGAGTAGAAATTCCTCTAACTCCATCCTCAGAGTTCAGTGCTGTTCCCTCAGCATCAAATCCACCCGGTACAGCCACACCTTCTTTTGCATAACCCAACAAAAACATACATTATAACTTGGGGAAATCAGCACATTTGAAAAGATGTCCGTTTGCACACTGGCATGCCAGAACTTCCAAAGGGCAGAGATCAACTCAATTTGTTTGAAGCTTTTCTTTTTTAACTTTTCATTAATATTATTACTTGAGACCAAGTAGAGCAGCTAAAAGTTAGCAGAAGTCATTCAATAACTGAGTAGATGTTTTCTGTGCCAATAAATCTTATTTCTGATGCACCAAGGTGTTTTTTAGGATTTCCAACAGTACCAGTAGTAATCTGTGCATGTGGTCATTTCTCCAGGCCTCAGTTTCCCCAACTGTAAAAGAATGAGCTCTCCAAGGCCCCTCTAGCACTGAGACGCTTCTAAAAGGTTCCAGAAATTTTTCTTTCTCATCAAAAAACCATCGATGGCTATCAGTTGGCAAAGAATAAGAAATAACAAAAGTCTTCTTACAGCCAGTATTATCCTTAAAACATCTTAACATTACGCTTCCTTCCGGAATGTGTCATTTTTACATGAATTGAGCAAATGAAAACATGGCCAATCTGGTAGGAAGCATTTGAATCCAAGCTAAGCTTCAAGTAAGTTGTTAAATGTCAAAAGAAAGATTCTCTAAAGGCTTCTGGCAGATGTGAAAGGTCATATGTGCACATGCATATGCATGCAGAAGGAGTGATGAACTCATAGACAAGAAAGGGTGGACGTGACTCCATGGGTATCTCGACAGGGAGGGGGAGAGGGAAGGTACCAGGAGGAGACACAGGTTTCCCGATGACTATTTCTTCCACTGAGGGGACCCGAATGGGCAGCCACAGGACACACACCAAGCCCGACATGGGGCCTGTCAGTCTTCCAGTTCTGTTTCTGGAACTGATCATTTTTGCAGTGTTCACAAATCTTCTGTTTTTAAAATATGTTTTTATTGATTTCAGAGAGAGGAAGGGAGAGGGAGAGACAGAAACATTAATGATGAGTCATTGATCGGCCCCTGCATGTCCCCTACTGGAGATCAAACCGAAAACTCAGGCATGTGCCCTGACTGGGAATCAAACCGTGACCTCCCGGTTCATAGGTCGATGCTCAACCACTGAGCCACACTGGCCAGGCTGTTCATAACTCTTTAACCTCAAGCCAGCCTGACTTTACTGACTTTCCTGCCACCTGTCACCTTTATGATATGAATTAAGGCTTATCATATTTCCCTTTGAAAATTATTTTTTGCAACAAATGAGATATTTAGCTGCAAGTCCCTGTGTTTCTTAAAAGAAAAAAAAAATACTTTATTGAAAGTCTAAGGGAGATGGTCATTGTGGAAAAAACAGAACCAGGATTTTGTTCCTGTTCATTCTCCAAAGAACCTCAGAACACAAGCAATAGTAGCTGACACTTCTCTTCACGGTGGGGACTGTCTGGATAAAAGAAAGAAGAGCCTTCTCTGAACAACAGAGGCTTAAAAATATGAAAATGCTGAATTATATTGTTCTGGTATGAATGCAGTCTCATCCACATTCCTCCCACCCTACAGGCTTCCAATCTGGACTGTTAGAGAAACATCCTGGTTGCTATGACAATGGCAACACCAGAAAGCCAGTTGGTCGACCTGTGCCAACATTAATAAACCACTCAGACCAGGAGGGTTGGGAGCAGCAGCCAGCACCCCGCCCTGGGCCATGTAATCTGCCCAGGGTCCTTACAGTTGAGGACCCCACCGAAAAGGGCCGAGAATGAGTTACCCCCAAGCCTCTGCTTGGAGACCTACAGCAGAGCGGGGGGGGGGTGTCCCAGCTCTCAGGGGTTGTTTCACCTCAACCATACTCAAAACAGATGTTTCTTCCATGTTGATCATTTATGCCAAAGACTAGAGGTTGATTCCCTTCCTAACTACATATTATGGGTCTTTTTGTCTCTCTCAGAGAAAAAACTTTTTTTTCCTGGTAAGTAGAGATATTTATATAACAACGTAAAGCTGGCCCTGGTATACAGTAAGTGCTGACTTATTTGTTTCATGAATGAATGACTAAATGACAAGGTAAAAAAGAAATCAACTCTGGTTTCATTCTAAGTGAGCAAGCAATCATTTTCATGTGACTCCTCCTATTAACTACATCTCTAAAATTTACTGTTTACCCAACCAGAACTATCCATCTGTAGATTTGATAAAGACAGCAAATTTGGTATGTGACATAATCCCTGAACACCTAATTTACTAACAGAAGTAAAAGGCAGCACTTAAAAAAAACAGTAACATAAACAGTGCTGAAACAGCAAGCCCTGATTTCCAATGACAGGAATCAGGCAATGGGTAAGGAAAGCAAAGGTTAGGCTCTGAAACTGTCATCATCCCTGACCGGTGATAATTCCTGTGTACGCTCTCTGGAAACCAGCCAGAAAAACCCAAACCTGCAGCAGCTGGGTCTCCAGCTTGACCTGGGGAGAGGGCAGAGCCAGGTGTGAATGCCCATGCCTCACTAGAGGGGCCGTGGGAGGTCTCAGTGCCACCTCTAGGAAGCCCCCTGCCTGTCCTGAAGGCTGGCTTCCCTGGAGGGCACTCAGGAACAATGCCCTCTATGTCCAGAGAGGGGATGTCAGACACCAGGCACCCTGGAGTAAACAGCAACAGCTCAAACTCATGTCACCTCTAAGGGGGTCTGATCTTGTTTGCTGCCCTCCAGCACCCAGCATGGAGGCCAGTGTGCTCTCACCAAACCCGCAGAGGGGAAGGATGGAGGAAGGGATGAAGGAGGCATTGGGAGGGAAGGGTGAGGGGTCAGGTCAAGGGCTCTAACTGACAAAGCACCATTCTTCCAGCTGGAAGCCTGGGGCCAACACCAACAGAATCGCCTGGGAGCTGGAAGCTGGAAGCATACTTCCCAGATGTGCTGGAATCTATCAGACTTCTGTGCAACTCTGGCACTTTGCTCTTTCCTACTTAAGTATGGTTTTCAACTCAACTACAGACCAACCTCACTAAATAATACATAAATAGGTCTGTGAGTCCAGTGCACTAGTCCCGTAAGAGCAAACCCCTCCCAGCCCAGAGGCCTCCATGTATGGAAGCAGACATGTGGAAGAAGGACCTCTCCTAATGCTCCCCATCTCTAGGCAGGCCTTCATTCATTCTGATTTAGAACACAAACAGGTCTACAAATTCTGGTAGCCACTATAGCTTATTATAACAAAATAAAAGTCTAACTCCCCAAAGAGATT